GACCGAACTAACATGTTAACAATTAATCCTAAATTATACATGCTTATTTAAAAAAATTGGATTTACTCATATGTAGAAGTTAAATAGAGAAGGTCAGTATTTGACCTTCTGATGTTGTTAATGACGCAATTTAATGCATACTTTTTGGGTTTCAATCCACTTTCCTGAAAAGTTAAAAATTTAGCGTACATTAATATTTATAACTGTTATTTCGTCTTGTAGCAAGTTTTTTACGACGAACAAGTTTTATAATTTTGAATTATAAAAACTGAGTTTATTGTAAGAGCGAATTAAGAAACACAACAAAAGTATAGATAAACAAAGAAAGAAATTTGGAGGAATATAATTATGTAAAGATGTTGAAAAATTAAATTAAATTAAAACATTATAGTTGAGCGCTGATCTTTTTTTAATCTCTATATAATTTTTAACTCTTTGAAATACAAACACAGGCTATACTATTTATTTGTATATTTTATAAAGTTGATTGCCAGATTCACACCGGTGCTCTCAAAAGTTGCGCTGACGCTGCTGCACGCCTGCTTTTGTTAGCTTGCTTTGATTTTTTTATTATTATTGTTTAATTATTTTATTATTATTATTATTATTTTGTTATTTAATTATTATTTAATTCAATAAATATTCTGGTTTCTTTTTTGGGCCATGACAAAAAAAGCAAAATTTTGATAAGATTTTCATTGTAATTATTATGTCACAGATATATTAATTTTTGAATTGCAAAAAGATGTATAAAAGCAGTGTAGATATCAGAATAAGTAAAATATTTTGAAATAATTTTCTTATACTTTTTAGCAGTATAAAAATAATAAAAGTATTTCAAGAATATTATTTTTTACATATAGTTTTTCCACTAATAAAAAAATTTTGTACTTGTTTTCTAGATTTTTTGCGATTTTTTGCGATTTAGAAGTTGCACTTGTTTTTCCGGACTATAATTTAGTATTTGACCGATTGTTTCATACATCATCTTATTAAAAACTAATCTCATGTTGCATAATTTTAAAGCATGGTGAAATATATAAATATATAACATATAAATCTAAAAAATAGAATATTTGTAATATATGTATTTATTAACTATCAGTTTTTATCATGAAGTTAACGCTGCAATGAGGGAATTTAATTATTATTTTAATTTTGTTAATTTTGTTTATATTTTCTGCAATTATAAGCAATCCATTCTAAATAAGGAAAGGAATCTTTTCAAGAGATGCGTACAAATGATATGTTTAATGTCAAATGTGATATGTCAAATGCATCTATAAAAAGTAACATTACTTACATTAATTACAGTTTTGTAAGACATACATATAAAAGGAAAAAAAGAATTGATACATTAATACATTAATATGAAGTAATAAGAGAACAGCTAAACAGAAAAAATAGTACATTTATTGAATATATAAGGATGAACTTTTGTACACGCGGAGACTTATTTATATATTTTAATATGTAAAACAAGGAAAAGAAAGGAATAAATTTAAAATACTTTCTTTTTCTTTCTTAGACCTTTTAATTTTGACAAAAATAGAATAAATCTGTCATTTTGGAATATAATTGTTAACCATTCTCAGAATCGCAGAAAAAATCTGGAACCTTCTGAGCAGATCTTTTTTCGAGTTTTTCGTGTTTTTCGTGATTAAATTTAATTGCTTCATCGACACTCTTTAGAATTTTTCTGTTTATATACTCTCGTATAAATTGTATTTTCATGCCATAACGTAGTATAAAGCTGAAATTATGCAAAATAATTATTAAAAATGTTATGATTATAACCTACTATAAATATTTATCATTATAAATTACAAATATAATAATTAAGATGTGCAAATTTTACCAATTATTATATTTTTAACTAAAAGTTGCATATACACTTTTGATTTATTTATTTGTGCTTACCGTAGTAACATAAGCTGCAATCGTTGAATACAAGTGAGCGTTTTTCGCATATGTGGCATATTAATGCTTAATAAATCAGTGACGAATAGTAAATATTGGTTGAATACGAGACTATTCGTCGTATAATAATTTGTACTTTCTACTAAACATCTTAGCATGTGCTCCCATTCAGGTGTTACTTGCCGTAAATACGGTCTCACCCAAGTTTCGATAAAGTCTCGCCCCCTTTGCTTTATCTCTTCAAGACTGCCGCGACAAAAATTGTATCTAGAGCATAGATTTATTGTCGGTAAAACGTATTAATTTTATAGAACAGATTATAGAATATATTATAATAGATTATAAAAAGTAATAAATCAGTCAACAAACACATAACAAATAAAAATCAAGAAGCAAAAGCAAAAATATGCATTGGATAAAGATTAAAAAATGTTCAGATAAATAAAAAATTTATTCTAGAATGGAAATACGTTAAACTCAAAAGAAAAGTTTAAACTCGTTATTAGTTGAACTTACTGCCATAATGATCTTGCTATTAACATTGCAGTGTTTGAAATGTAATGATAAGCAAACTTGCGCGGAAACGCCAGATCGTACTTACTCATCTTCGATACCAAGGAGATATCCTACACCTCTCCATAGATGACAAAAAGCTATCATATCTTCATCGCTAACGTGAACGCCGAGCTCGTGCGGATAAAGCAGAATTATTCCCATGAATGCGAATTGCGTAGCTGCCATATCAGCTTGATTTAATCCCGTGGGTTTGAGCAGTAGATGAAGACAACCATTTGTCACGGTCGGATACGGACAGGAGGAAAAATCTTCTAGGATTGTTTTTATATCCGGGCACCATGGGTTCGGAATGTTAGTGGCCGCATCGAGTTCCTCCTGATCGTACTCGCAAAGTTTCAGCCGTATCGCACGGTGCATTCTACGCACAGCTTGAATATCTTGATGAGCCTTCGTACCTTTGGTCCAAGGATCCTCTGTCATCCAGTTTCTCACACGGCAAATAGTAGATAAGTATCTTCAATCATAAAGTTTTGACGTGCATTTTTTTCAAAAAGATACCGAATTTAATTCAACTACAGTTTTGTATATTATTTTGGAAAAAATTATTTATATTTATTACATAATAGTTGAGATTAGCTATAGTTAAAATTATTTTGCAGTAGAGTAAAAAATTCCGTAATTTCTGCTTTTGTTATTCTCGAGCTATATATTGAATGATTTCTGTGAATATATCATTATCATTATAAGAAATACAAGTTTAATAGAAGAATAAATTATTTGATTTAAATCTAATTATTAAGTTCTGTAGAAATCTTTTCATATATTTGAAAAATTTTGTCGAAATTATTACAATTTATACCTTCTAAACGCTAAGTACGGCGTGTGAGATTTCCGGCTCAAAATCATCGGTTTAAGACCGTCTCTAAAAGTAAATATTTGGAATAAGGACAGCATATTAGCGAAGAAGATCGAGAAGGTGTGTTCTCGTGCGAATTTTTGTCCTCTTTGAAACATGTCCATATCCAACCAGAGTGGTCTGTCCATTGCACTTCGGCCGCAATCTCCACGATATAGCGCAGCCGATATGAAGAATAGTAAAGAGTTTGGCAGTGTTGGAAAATACGTTTTCATATTTTCCATTGTATCCTTATATTTTTTATCCAACCATTCGTCATTGTTAGACGTGCATTCGTCATTGTTAGACGTCCATTCGTTGTTAGACTTCGTATGCTGGTCCGTGAAATATTTCATATTCTCCACCACGTGCTTCTTATATTTCTTTGCGTTTTTTACCTCGGCAATTTCATAACGTTTTTCTGTTGTTGCATTATCTATGCCAGTGCTCGGAATTAGTTGAACATTTCAGCCGATTTCCGCGATATACGCCTTCTTTCCTCTCCTTACCGCGCGCGCCGCAGCCGCTAGGACCAGCGCCGCCGAGCGTTAGGAGCGGCACTATCTGATTATGAGTGAGTTCTTCTCCCTATTTATTAAAATTTAAAAAAATTTATTAAAATTTATTAAAAATAAATTTTTTATTTTTAATTTATTAAGTGTGGAAATATTTCAATAAATTTCCACGTCACCCATGAGGTACTAATGCCGACGCGTTTTTTAAAAAGTGGTTTCTCCCGTAGGCCTATTCCACTAAAGATAAAAATAACAAATTCTTAATTTAAAAAAATAATATATAAAAAGATTTTCTTAATTAGATTTTTCTTGGCCTTTTATGAGAATGAACAATTGATGCAATAATGTAGATAGAAACCACTTTTCAAAAAACGCATCAGCATTAGTATCTCATGAGTGACGTGGAAATCTATTGAAATATTTCCATTTAATAAATTAAAAAATAAAAAATTTATTTTTGATAAATTTTAATAAATTTTTTTTTAATTTTAATAAATAGGGAGAACTTACTCATAATCAGATAGTGCCGCTCCTAACGCTCGGTGGCGTTGGTCCTAGCGGCTGCAGCGCACGCGGTAAAGAGAGGAAAACAGGCGTATATCGCAGAAATCGGCTGAAATGTTCAACTAATTCCGAGCACTGATCTATGCGGTAATCCAAGTGATTGTCGTTCTGATTTTCTGAGTTTGATGCGTTTTTGTTTAATATTTTAAATATTTCACAATTCTACGCAGAACTATGGTAAATCAACTGTAACACAAAACATTTTAAACAAAGATAAAAAATAATAGTATTGCTTATACAAAATAATCAAAATAATTAAATACACACTATATACTCATTGTCAGCAGTTAGTACGATACTGCGCGCGACGACTTGTATCTTTCACACCAAGGTGTGAAGAGCAACTGGATGCAACTCAATATTTGCATATTGTTTTAGTTATCTTGATGCTGGAATGTAAATTTGATTAATGCTTCACTCAAAAAAAAATATTCTACTCTTTAGCGGTAACCTGTTATTGCTAGAGGATTTTCCTCTGATATATGGTCTCAAGATGATATTCAAACATATAGAGTAATATCCTTTAAGCATATAAGATACTAGACTTAAGATTGTAATCCTCTTAATGTTAAAAACCTCCTATTCTTGTAAATCTAATCTTATTCTTATTTAAAACATTTATAATAATACTTTAAGACAAATGTTTTCTACTTTTAAACTTACTAAAGTATTAATTTATATCTGATTATCATATACTGACTAGAGAAGCGTACTTTCTGTGTGATCCAAGTAATACTCTTGTTTGTAGAGTATAATATTTTTTTTCATAGGAATCTTCTTGCGCTCTCTCTCTCTCTCTCTCTCTCTCTCT